CTTCCACACTTTTCTACTACTATGGGTCATGTTATGTTGTGGACTGGATGAGTTCCTGCCATTTCCTTCGTCTGCCTTCTGCTATGGCTTCAGTTAGTCTCTCGCCAGAGTCAAGCGTGCGGTCACCGAATGGATCATTCTGAAAACAGTTTACATAGTCCTCAAAAAGTGCTTCGGAGTCACCCGTCAGACCTGGGATGTAACTTGTGTGGCATCCTCGAGGTATGTTGTTCCTGGGTGATTTCTTGATCATCTTTACGAAGGTGTCATAGTTAGTAGGGGGAGCAAGTGGGTGCCGGACTGCATCATCGAGTTCTTTAGCAAATTTTTCCTAATTAGCTTTCTTCAGGTTGAAACGTCGGCGGAAAGGTACCGATCGAGGTGTAACTACGGCGTTAAAACTTTAAGCCCAATGGGCCGGTGTTGGGAGTGTGGTATTGGGTCCAGGACAACCTTCTCACATTGGCCAGCAATGCTGGTAGAAACAAACACCAGGTCAGGGTTGTATCCACGCCTCCATCTGGAACTGTTGAAGGAGCAGGGAAGCTTTGCGTCATGTATAAGCGACAGCTGATTCACCAAGTGCACCATCTTTGTTTGTTTTTGCATACCCCCAGGTAACATTATGGCTATTGAAATCTCCTATAACCACATTGATACGGCCATCAGTAACCTCGCAAAGAAGGTCTAATATCTCACGTGGCGGTTTATAGACAGAGCTGACAGAAATTCCCATGAGCTCGATGGTAAGAGCTTCAATGTTAGCATCGTCTGATAGAGACCTATCCACAATTAGCCCATTACGTACAAAAATCGCACTACTGTATAGATTATGTGGGTTCTCTGCTATAAGGGTCATTCCGGGGATTTGTGGGCGATTACGTGAAGGTTCGCGGTGTGGCTCCTGAAGGCAAAGAATGTAACATTTGTTTCTCACACACAGGTTAGCCAGAAGATCTTGTTTGACGCCTGAGAGACCTTCAATGTTGGATGAAATGATACTCAGTGCCGGCCCTGATAAGGGCCCGTGCTGTCGACACTGAAACTTGCCATATTGTTGGTCATAGATAGACATAATGAGGTGTAGTGTAGTCTTCTTCTTCTTCTTTTTCTCGGGTCACTACACTACACTCGGCCTAGCCACTGCAGCACACAGGACTTGCACAGCACGGTGGTTGAAAGCCTCAAGGTCTGCAGGGCTACAGGAGACGTACTGTAAGGTACTAAAGGAAGGTACTGTATTGTAGTGTAGTAAAAGGATTTGCAGGTGAGAAACCTGACAGGGGCCGCGACGTGAACGCTCCTTCTGTGGCCCCCCGTTATCAGCGGTGAGCCTAACCTTTGCCTGAAAAAGCATAACCTACAAGTGTGTGTGTGTGTGTGTGTGTGTGTGTGTGTGTGTGTGCGTGTGTGTGTGTGTGTGTGTGTGTGTGTGTGTGTGTGTGTG